GATGGTACGGGCGTGGGCCGACGACGCTGAAGTGGTGAATGGGGCTAGTAGGTCAAAAGTCTGCGACCACCCCACATCGGTCGCGCGATGACAACAACATCGCTGAATTGATGCATTATCTTTGAAAATCCACAACAATCGTAAAAAATGCCCTCAAGGCGTAGTTTTGGTACAGAAATTAGCGGTAATCGCCAGAGAAACCATGAATGTATCCCTGAGGCTAGGGCTGTAATGCTTGCGATGCTAGATGCAGGCTGCTCTATGCGACGCGTCGCGCGCGAATTCAACACGACACATTCAACAGTATCGCAGACTAAAAAACGGTGGCTAGAGAGCCACAAAGTTACCTCAAAGCCGCGAAAAGGGCGTCCAGAGAAGCTCTCACCAGCGGCAAAGAGGTACATTATTCGCATGACTTCAACAGACCGCCAAATCTCATATAATGCGCTATTAGACGCAACACCTACTAGTATATCGCGTCGTACACTACGGCGGTTTTTACGCAAGCACTGGGGCCGCAAATGGAAAGCAATTAAAAGGCCAAAATTATATGCAGAATCAGCAGCGCAGCGGCTTGAATTTGCAACAACTTGGGCCCCAATTGCCCCAGAATTGGAATCGGTATGTTGTGTTGAAGTTGATGCTCTAATCCCCCGCTTATATAACTAGACGATCTTCTCAGACGAGGTTTCTGTACGCAATAAATCTGACAACCCGAACGTTTATATCTTCCGATTTCCATATGAAAAGTATCTGAAGGAATTCGTTAATCTTACAGACCATGTTAAATCAACCTTAAATGTTATGATGTGGGCAGGAATTTGGAAAGAAGGAAGGACCTCTTTGATTGTCATGATTCGCGATCCGGAAGCTCCCAATCAAGGATATTCATCTTGGAGCTATATCCAAGCCTTAGAAGAAGGTCTCTTGCCCTTATACGATGGAACCCGTCGATTTCAACAGGATAATGCCCGAATTCATACTGCTGAGACTGTTGATAGCTTTGTGGCTCGTAACGCGATTGAGCTAATTGAGTGGCCAAAGAATTCGACCGATTTAAACCCCATAGAGCATGTTTGGGCAATTCTGAAGCGTAAGTTACGTCAGTTATTCCCTAATATTTGTTCCCTAAGAAATAATATAGCCGATATGATTGAATTTAAACGGTGCATTCAAATCGCATGGAACGCGATCCCACAAGGGCAAATCGCGGCCTTGATAGCTTCAATCCCGCGCCGGCTGCAAGCCGTAATTCGGGCACATGGGTGGTATACATATTATTAAAGCTCGTTTTTCAGGCTCCTTTCTAGTACATATAAATCTACATATAAAGCCCTGGTTATCGAGAATCATGCCTTCAAAGATATCGTGTTGTGGCCACATCGCGCGACCGATGTGGGGTGGTCGCAGACTTTTGACCTACCAGTGTAGCCACTGCCAGTTGGATCAGAATTGCACAGGCGCCCACAAACTGTCCGGCCAGCGAGAAAAATTGAACAACATGGGTGTAGTAGAACCATAAACAGAATCTAGTTGTATGTAAATATCGCTGGCTCAGTATAGGCATTATGCTGTCCGCATGAATGCTCAGTCGCCGCCGTCACCAAGGGCCTTGTCTCGTTCACCAACTGCAGTGTTGCACGAGGACCGCTTTAGCTTATCACTAGTCAGGTAGGGTTTTGTCCTACCCTGGAGGAGTGTACTGTACAATAATAAATAATGTAGTTCAACTCTCCCCTGTAAAAACTTTTCCGAACCTGGAGCTGTTAGCAGCTGTTAGTGGCGGGGTTCTTGCAGGCCCGGAGACCCGCAGTTTTGATGGCATGGCTAGCAGAGCCGTAACAGCCACAAAAAGGAAGAAATTTGGAGACTTCATGTTCCTCTTGAGCTGCGGTCTCGC